GTATTTTGTTCGATGTCGAAGATGAAGTTTTCCGCTTTTTTGGCATTTCGGGCTCCACTGTATGACTTTGGCTCATGAATTTTCAATTTTTGTGCCACGAGGATGAGGTTCACAACACCCTTGATTTGGTTTTCGCCTTCTCGAAGCAGGCCTTGTAAAGCAGCATTGACAACATTGAGTTGGCCTGTCAAGTTGTCTATAGTTTGTTGCATGGAAATCACTCTGTCTACCACTTGTGCCCTATAGGCTAAATCCTCGACACGCTCTTGTTGGAGGCCCTCATTTACCAAAAATTTTGAATACCTCTATGGATGCCATTCGCCGGTCTCCTTTAGAGTCGTGACTGAGGTTTTTTATGTCAACTTTGGCCTGGAGTATTCTGCGGTCCAGGTCGTTCAACCTTTGCACTAAGCTGGTTCTTAGTTCAGGTACCATATCCACGATGGGCCGTATTACGTCAACCGTCTCTTTAAGGGTTGCGATATGTTCCACACAATTCACCATGGTAAAAAATGGTGGTAATGACAATGTATTCCCTCATCTGATGTCGAGCCTAGGACCTGATACCAACTGTTACGAGGTGCCTTATTGAGATTCCTTGGAAGGACGACGTAAGCCTAAGCAACTGATGTCAGTGCATTTACTATCCACCAACTGAGGTCCCCTACATATGCTAGACGAAATTGTTAGTACCATACAAAAAACCAATGCCTAGAGCAATTGAGAGAACAGAAATGAGAATTGAGAATGAAAGAAATCTTGATTGTATTAATTAAAAGTATTACAAAAAGGCAACACGATGTCGAGGGGGAGAGACACCAGTACAGAGAATTATTTGGTTGCTAGAAAGTTTGATTGCTTGATCTCCTCTAATAGTGCTTAAAAACAATAAACCAAAGTTACAAGACTTGACCTAACTAAGCTAGAGGAACATAATGGAAGTACATGAAATAAAACTACTCTATATTTACAATGAAAAGGACCTAGTTTTCTACAAGGTAGAAATATGTCCGTTGTTAGCAACCTTTTCTTTGGCATCACGGTCTGCGCACGTGGCATTGTTGGCATCTGCCTGCGGCTGGGCGCTGACAAGGGATATCGGTGGGGCGACAGAGGCACATGCGTGCTTGTCACTTGGCGCAGCCAAGACTACGGGGTCGTTTGTGACGCTAAGTGTTGGGAGATTTACCAGGACGCCATGGGGCGCATCCAAGGGGTCATGGAGCATGCATGGCTGGAAATCCTCCCATGACATTATGTATGCTTAATTCAAAGAAATCAAAAATTCGAAGTACCGATTTTTCTGCCAGACGTTAGCAAGGATATTCAGTGCAACATAACAAACAACCTAGTTTAACAAACTATATACTGTTATGAAACAATAAAAGAAGAAGAAGAGTATTACAGAGAAAAGTAGGGAGAGAGAATTCTTATTGATTTTGGGATGAATTACAATGGAATAGAACCCTCTATTTATAGGGAGAGGGTGACTTAGCCGCCAAGTAATGAACCCTAGAATCTCTCTAAATATAGACATTCACCATAAATAAAATTCTATTTATAACACTCCCCCTTGAATGTCTATTCAACAGATCATGTGCCTCATTAAAACCTTAACTAAATAAAACCCAGCGGGAAAAAAATTCTAGAGAAGGAAAAAGAGTATACATATCTAATAATACACGTTTTGGTTGCCTCGTTAAAAACCTTGCAAGGAAAACCTAGTGGGACAAAACCTTGTAAGGAAAAAAGAGTACAACGCGCATTAACTCCCCCTGATGAGAGCATCAATTCACATTCTTGAGCCTTCGCATCCCAATCTTGTGCACCATCTTCAAAATATCGTTGGTAGAGATTTGATAAACAAATCAGCCATATTAACTTCAACGAATTTGTTTCACCTTGAAATCATCATCCCTGATAAATGTATTGTCTTTATCTGATCTTGTTGGAATCATCATTTCAATATCTTCACATAGGGGTAAAGACTCTTGCTATCATATTATCATGCTTATATTTATAACAAGATACTTTTGTGCACAAATTGCACTTAGGATATGGTACTTCAGGACCAAGAATTGTATATGCTTTAAGCAACTTAAATCCTTCATGGATTGTCATATAAGTTAAGTCATATAAGCCATCTAAAGAGACTTTAGATACATATCAAGTTTTCATGTCATGCTAGACATATAAGATTGATAAAAGTAATTGCATTACATTATTGACTTTATAGTTTATACTTTCAAGTGTTTGAACTACATGTCCAAAATTATGTGTCTTTCATATGGAATCAATTCTACTTGAATTGTGTCTCTTCCATTTGGCCAATACTTTTGTGTCTATATTCGATAGACTTAAGATCCTCATCTATACTTAGCGCTATGATAGATGTCGTCGACGAACATTTTATATCGGTTCCAATAATTTTTCATAAAGACATAACATAGATATATCTTCATTCATATATTCAGGTACCTAAATTTCTCATGAGATCTTATGAAGTGTTATGTCATGTGATCTTCTAGATCACTTGCCTCCTTTATTATGATCATTTTGATCATTTGCTCATCTTCTTTATCAAGAAGTTTATTTAAAACCGATTTGTCTATATGGTTTAAGCGTACCATAGACTTTATCCTTCTAGGACTTAATATGAGCATTTATAATGAGAATATAGTTACTTTCTTTGGGTCAACAAATGCGTCTAGCATACTCTGCAATATATTGCAAATGAATTATCTTTTTATGAACTTCAAGTTCATATTATCGTATTCGAGGATCTAGATATACAAATGATAATTCATTCCACGTAACTTTAATCAGCAGCTTGATCAGCTTAAGGGGAAGTTTCGCAGGTTTGTGAAGACAAATTCTCATCACTCAGTTTTTAGAGCTGAGCCAACTGATTCAGTGGTATCCCTCTCTCCCTATACTTCGAACCAAGACTCTTCTTCAGACTTAGGTTCTCTAGCTTCTATTCTCGGGGTACGTTTCTCAACTGTTTATCATGTCTCCCCCTCATGTTAGAAAAACTAACTTGCTTTTTCAACTTTGAAAACTCATCTTTGTGTGTTATGGTGTTAATCAAAATGTACACCGCACATCAATAATAATAAGATGAAATTATTTGGTTCCTGACCCTGAACCACTTGTGAGGGGAGAATGTACTATACTTTCGTATACAACCTATATCGAACTGATAAAGATAACTTTTTTCTCATAAGCAATAGTTTAGCTATTAAGTGGATGCACTTAATAAATTATTTTGCTAAACCAGATGTGATGTAAACCAACTTATCAAGATGAACTTCTTGAATAGAAAATTTGGAAATTATGCTCGAAATTAAACTATTGAGCAGGTTACCTTGCAAAACACCATGTTGCGAGTTAATAATAATTGCACATGTAACCATCTCATAAATGCATCTTATGTGGTATACATGGCAGGTGAATGAGCCCATATTCACCTTTGATATTTTCAGAATTTATGGGATTCAATCCCAACTTTAGTTGGTTAATTAATTAATGAGAATAAGCAATATAAGAGAATTCGTAAAGAACTTTCTAGTTCTTTAATATTTACCCATGTGAATTCTCTATTATTTTTGCACATCATACTTACATTGATATGGCTAAACCAGCTATACCAACTGGATATCAATAAACTCCAAATTTATTATGATGAGTTTTATATCAATAAAGTTCTACTTTGTTGTGGCATTCTTTTATTTATCTAGTACAAACTGGAGAATAAAACGGGTAACTTTTCACATAAATATTATCCCGCTACAAGTTGTAGTAATAGAAGATATTAAATCTTTCTTTACTTATAGTCTCAATATAACCAACCTCTTTCGCGAATACTTTAGAAACTAAATAAGTTTCTTTGAGATTTACTACAACACAATACCTTATTGGTAATCAATTGTGTTTCTCCAAAATAGTATAATTGGCTCTTCCAGAACTCTCAATTAATTTTGTACTACCACATATTCATCAACATTCATATGGTCATATATCTCTATCCAGGAGAAAGTTATACCATTATGGTCATGGTCAAAATTGTATGCAAGATATGTGTCTTGCATTATTGTTGTCCTTTAATAATCACATTGAAAAAAGGTTTTGGCGTACAATAGGTACGTGACCAATGACCATTCATGCCATAATAATGACATTATTTTCTTATATCATCTCAAACCTCCTTCTAGAGGTGAGTACGGTATATTCACTACCACTAGCACGTTCATATTCTTCCAAGAATGAATATGTATTCATAAATCAGATGTTGTCACATTCACATCATGAATGAACCATAATCATATATATGTGCTTTACAAAATCTCATGTCAAATTGATGGAAAATATTATTTTCACAAAGTGAAGGATTATTTTGAGAATCCTTATTGTTCTCATTGCCACAATGATGACGATTATAATTTCGTCTATTGCCACGTCCACATCCATTGATACATTCATAGTAATAATTTTGTCTTCTTTCAGACTTATCACATACTGCTATCACATTCTCTAAAGGGAATGAGAATGTAGTAAATTCAATGGGACGGGTTTTCAATTCTTTGCCCACAATCATACATGAATTTAATCATGGCAAGACATAGAAATTTTACCACTTTGGGTGGTTATAATTTCTTTTAAACTCCATTAGAGTTGCAATCAAAATTTATCGTCTTTGCTTGTATTTAAAATCAAAGTATAGAATGTCAAGAATTTGAAAGAGAAAAATAAAATACTTACCTTAAATCCAGAATTTAATCATGAAGGAAGTTCAAAGAACAATTGACAATCATTATGCTCAATCCCAAAGCTTCTACTTGGTTAGAGTCTCGTGCTGATAACGTGTTATGAAACAATAAAAGAAGAAGAAGAGTATTGCAAAGAAAGGTAGGGAGAGAGAATTCTTATTGATTTTGGGATGAATTACAATGGAATAGAACCCTCTATTTATAGGGAGAAGGTGACTTAGCCACCAAGTAATGAACCCTAAAATCTCTCTAAATATAGACATTCACCATAAATAAAATTCTATTTATAACATATACAACATACATGCAAAATTAATAATAAGTAGAAATTTTTTTTCCAATGGGGAGCCAACAGCTCTCTAGATCAGCATATGGTTGAGGGTTTATATTTCTATAGATTCCACGAGCAGAGCAATTGTGTCTTTGGTTTAAAAACTTTTAGCATTTTGATTGTGTTTGTATGTAACATCTATAACACGAGCAAGATTGAGAATGCGATTAAGAATCTCCATAGGGACATGAGTTGGTTTGAGAATTCCTTTATTCACATCCTTCCACGCTATTTCAATCATTTCTTGGAATTTGTCCATTAGCTCTTCTGTTAATACGCCATAATCTCTCATGTAGCACTCAATTCTTGTTGCAATTTGGCCTCTACCCTTCTCAACCTAAAGGGTATAAATATGTAGTCAATAGTATGGTTGTATTTAGTTTGTCAATATAATTAAAATTAATCTTCTTTTATCTAGTGCAATATATACCTCGTAGCTTGCTATGTCATCAACAACGCGACATAATGTAGCATTTGTTTCAAGAAATTTTGGGTTCTTTGACAACCACTCAAAATCTTCCTCGATAGCAGATTTCATGCCTAAGCAGGATGTTGTTGCGAGCAAGTAATATGTGCTAGTAGCTAAAGCATTGTTAAGATACTGAGAAACGTGTGGCATATATCCTTTGATGAACCATATTTTTTCGACATAATAGCTTCTCACAACTTCTTTCATCTATTCAACATCAAAAAAATATTTTTAACTACTTAGTTATTCATTGAATACTGCAGTTATAAAAGAGATAGTACACAAGATTAAGAGACATAAATGAAATTTATTAGGAGTAAGTATGAGTCGTACCCTTTCTTTTGCATAATGGACAACAGAGGATCGGCCATCCTTGGCCAACTCTTTTTCATAATCCTCATATAGATCTAGAAGAGCTTTATAGCTAAGTTTCATGTAATTTGGGAGCTCATCAATTTGATTAATGTCCCACCTAAATTTTAAATAAGAAATTAGAAATAATAGACTAAGATTATAAATAAATGATAATAAATACTCCCTCCGGTCCACAATAAGTGACCAATTTGCTTTTGGCACGTCCATTGAGAAAACACTAAATTTTATACAAAAATACCTTGTCTGACTAAACTACCCTTAATTAAATATTTGATGTGAGGAGTAAGAAAACTTTTTAGGGATATGTACATAAGAGTAATTTTGTAAAAACAAATTGAATTCTTTCTTGATTATATAAATAGACACTTATTTTGGACCAAAATAAAAAAGCAAATTAATCAGTTATCATAGACACGGGGAGTAATACGTTTCTCAACTCAGTGAAAAGTAGTTCTAGACAATTTCATGTCATTTTCTCATGTTGCGCCAGGAAAAATGCATGGTGATTGACTTGTACAGAAAAGTAAAAGTTCACTTTTCATTCAGGCTGGTCTTAAGTTAAAAGATTGTGAAAGTTCACTATCATTCTTAATTACTACTAGAATAATTCTTTGGCTTCTAGTTTTCTTATTAATAAAAAAATAAAATTGTAAAGTATTAGATACATAGTCCATACCTTTGTATGGCATCAGTGTAAATGTCAAGTTCTTTCAAGATGTCACTAGCGTTGAAAGTGTCATATACTATTGAAATCATTGCTATAGTCTTGGCAAGCATAATACGAGCTTGAGAATATTGAGGTTCAAAGTAAACTCCTACCGTCCAAAAGTGACACTCCATTATTCTATCTTTAGCATAGGGAAGTGTTGTCATAAAATTCAAGTCTTTCCACCACCTGCAAAACTTCTCAGAGTTAGAGAAATCAATATTATCAAACGGATTTTCTTTTCTTTGTTTTGTTCTCAAAGTATTTCCATATATACCTTGATATTTCACCGAGTTCATTTTTGTATAACATTTGAAGTAAATTGAAATCCAATTTGGCAAATCGTAGTAACACATCATTTTTCGATTCACCCTCATCATAGTTAGAGATATAGTAGCGTATCTCGGCTCTTGGTATGCCCTTTTGCAGAGATTGCTCAAGGGCATGTGTAACTTGTTTTTTCAGAGCAGACTTTAAATGTTGAACTGTAGACTGAAGGTGAGTCGTAGTGAAAGCAAGTGCTTCATCTAAGATGTATTCACCATGAGTCCTCACATGTGAAGCTTCGTATAAGCACACCATGCCCAAAACATCGGTACTAAGACTCCTCTTGAATTGACCATTGCCATATTGGAATTTTCTAAACACACCTGGTTTGAAATCAACAAGATGATTAGCCTTCTTGTAAAAATACAACATTAATAATTGTTACGTCTGAGTCGCAAGAAAGTTAGGTTAGTTATATGAATCTTTAGTCTTAAATAAAAAATAGAAGTTGACCAAATTTTCACATAGAAGAAAAATGCACTTGATTCATAGTAATATTGAACTTAATTACCTGGTGAGATATTGTAACCATGTTGTCTCAGCATTCGAAATTGAAGGGCACAAATGTACAAATCATTGTATTCATGACCCTCAAAGTCTGGATCGGCATTGTGTATGTGATACAACATATTGTCTATTTGTTTTTCAAAATGATAAGCTATACCAAGGCGTTCAATAATGTCTATTAGATTCAATTTCTCATATACTGTTTTTCCACATGCTAATAACATACTTCTCGTTTTTTCCTTCATAGTTTCCATCTCTTGAACATGCTTTTCTGCAACCTATAATGTATACGAAAATGTTCAGAATATGGTCATATACTACATATTAATTAGTAAAACACCAAACAAATTAAATTCCTTATCTTACAAAACACAGACCAAAGCAAGATTCAATATGGCTTTAACCTTTAAAGCTTTTAGTATTGAAGTAGTTGTACTATAAAATTATGGGTTTATATTAAATATTTGTTATATTAGTAAATTTTCACCTAGATATCTGTATTTCCTGAAAAATATTGAGTTCGAAATGAACCTATTGCATTAATTAGAAGTAAAAGACAAGATTTATTCTCTCCATTCCAATTAAGGCGATGTTGTATGATTTGAAACATAATTTAAGAAAGAAATAAAGAATTTTAGAATTTATGTTCCTAAATATATTTTAATAATTGTGTGGCTATAACTTTTTGAAATTTATGATCTCAAATATGTAGTATATGTTCCTAAATATATTTTAATAATTGTGTGACTTATATGTAAATGCTCTTATAGTATTTTTTGCTTAGTAACCAAACACCAGAAAATAAAATCTCTTATATCTTGCAGGAAAACATTTTTCTTTCGTACCAAACACATCCTAAATATACCTTATTGTCAACAGCGAATGAAGGGAAACTATCACCCCAAAGACTTGGAGATAAATTGGGAATGGGGTGAAGTGTTTCTTCTGGGTAGTGCAGTACAGTATTAGTGACTGCAGCTAAGGCCATTAATTTCTAAGAGTATAGGATCTTAGCTGGGCTTTTATATATTGGACCTTTAATTTAGTGCTAGAAAAGTGACTTGGAAGAGTATTGGAGAGCAAAGTGGAAGAGTCGAAATTAGTATTTATAATAGTGAGATGTAGGAGCCTCTATATATGACTATGAAAACAGCCATCTTTAACTTCAAATTCTAGTAAAGGTAGTAGTACTATCCTTTAGGATTATTGCAGCCATCGAACGTTTTTTCCTCCATTGGCGTCTCTTGTGGAAACAGAGCCACTTGACTCTTCTTCCCTCTTATTTTCCTTCGTTGGCGTCTCTCCTTTTTCTCTTCTTCATCAGTTTTCCATTGGTTGTTTGAAAGCGTGTTGGAATTTGGATTTTAAAATGTCAATATTCGTAGCATGTGAGGTAACTGGATTTTTTTTTTTTTTTTTTGGTATGTGCATAGATTTTATGTATTATTGTTCCAGTTTTACGTGTAGTAGTAACTCAATTTCAAATTGTTCGAACTTCAACTGGTGGACGATTCAACATTTATTACTATCACTATCACTATCACTATCTAGTGGACGAGTGAAGTCTTTACGAAACAACGAGTGAAGTCTTTACGAAACAACGAGTGAAGACTTTACGAAACAACGAGTGAAGAATTAATTACGAAACACTAGCCGTACTGGTACTAATAATTGAATATACACACTACACTTCTTTTTTTTACCTTACTGTTAAATAAAAGTGCGACAAATGCTATTCACACGTGTATTTACCATCTTGAGATAATGATGCTTGGTGGGCCGGGCATGAACCAGACCGGGCCCGTGGTCATAACGGGCCTAACGGGCCTGGTGGGCCGGTCCTGGTGGTCCTGAGAAGCCCGTGACGGGCCGGTCTTCATAGATTAGCCCACGAGCCCGGGAACGTCAGCCGGTGCTGGCGGGCCTGGCGGGCCCAACGACTTTTTTTTTAAAAAAAAAAATAAATAAATTTGTATACACATAACATACAAAATATATAAGGTAATATATACACACANTATATATATATATATATATTAATATGTTTCATGTTGCACTTTGTTATTAATTTATTATGCATGGCAATTTAGTGTTTTAATATTGTTTTGTTATTTTTCTTTTTCGTCAAGCACTTTAATAACAAGATTTCTACATATATACTACATATATATTTTTAATATAGCCAT